TACAATTTAAAAACAGGTATTGGGATAGTCTATATATGTGTATTAGAAGCTTTATGAATGGTTTGGCCAAGAAACACACGAGTGGATTTGAAGATGAATGTGCAAAGTCAGAATATGCCAAGTTTTTGTGCTTGTGTGTAGATTCTGGGTTCAAGGAGTTTTGAGGGGTTTAGAGGGCTTGTAATTTCGTGTCCTAAGTTGCATAAGAGTGTTTTGATATATAGGAAAAGTTTTTGAGACTTGAGATGGTCAGAAGTACAAGATCACATGTTTTGGCTTCTTGACTTGTTTTTTAAGTAAGGTTGACAAACATGGTTTCAATGCATAGTACAAGCATGGTATGAGTAGTTAAAGGCTTTGGACAAGTTTCGTATAGCTTTGAGATTGTGTGTGATCAGAAGGAACAAGTGCAAATCTCAAGGAGAGTGGACTTTGTGATTAAAGCTACTTTTCCAAAATGGAAGTGTGAACTTTGTTCCATTAATGGAAATGCAACTTGGATAATGGCTCAAATGCTTGTACAATGGTTCTATCAGTTGTGCAAACCATTAATTATGGAGTGAAACACAAGTTTAAGGCCTGCAAATCAAATATGATGCAACATGGGCTTGAGATTTGAATTCTTGTTCTTCATGAAAATGACTTGAAAATCAAGAATGGATGTCTAACTACTCCTCTTCGATTCTCCTAGCTCAAAAATAATCTCTTTAAGTTCTTGGACATTTTGGAAAACTTGGAACATCCTATAACTTTCATGTTTTCCATTTTTGCAAAATAATCTTGGAGCTTGGTGGAAATTGACCAAGAAGTTAGGTCAAAAATCTGCCTAAACTAGGTCAAAATTTCACTAAGTGTTTTAAGAAAAAGTTCATGACTTTATGACCTTATAACTCAAAATCTAAGCATTTTTTGGACATGAGCCCTATAATACAATTTTTTAGAATTCATCAATATCTACAACTTTCTTGTTTAAATTTTTTCTTGAATCATCTTGCATCATGGTGAAAAATTGGCATGAAGTCTTGAAGAAAAACATTATAAAACACTTAGAAAAATTTCTAAGTCTTGGAAACTTTGACTTTTTAAAATGATATTTTACTTTCTTGGTTTCTTGATGATCAAGTTTCATATTTTTGCATGTCTTGATGAAATGTGATCTTTGAAACTCAATTTTGATCAAAAAGTCAAAGTTTGATTTTTCAGTATACAATTGACTTTTTCATTAGTTGATCAAATTTCAACTATCAATCAATTGATCTTGAGAAATGAATTAAACCAATACAATTATGTCAAGATGATTAATTTGAATCCTTGATATCATGTTTCAAACCAATAAGTCATGTATTAGGTCAAAAGTCAAAAATCAAGCTTTCTCAGTCAAAACCCTGATTTTGACCATTTTGTCTTTTTCATGATTTGATCAATTTTCTTGGGGAGTTGTGATCCAAACTTGATCAATTGATACATGTGAGTTCAAAATGTCGATATGGGTCAAAAATCTTGAAATTTGACTGTAAGTTGGCCACAGTTGACTTTTTGTCCAATACAGATGATTTTAGGTCATTTGATCACTTGACTGAGCAAACTTGAACCGCAAGACTTGAAACTTGACATGAAAAATCTTGAAGGTCTATAATGATCCATGGAAGTTATATGAGGCATTAAAAGTACAATTGTCCTTGTGAAAACTCAAATCCTAATTTGAGGTATCAATGTTGAGGAGATGTCTTGACCTAGTCAATCCTTGTGCAAGCTTGAACTATTGAAGATCTTATGGGAAATGTCTCGAGAAATGAGAGAGCAACTTTTGGGGTACACCATTTTGTAAGTGTGTTTCTTGCACAAGGATTTGTGTCTTGTTATGTATGAATTGATGAGAATACATAAGAATGAATTAGGTTAAAAGATAATGGGCTTGGACTTTGTATGAAAAGCCTTGGTCTTATATTATTTATTTTGACTTTTAAAATAAATAAAAATAAAAATAAATAAAATAAAGAGGTCAAGGGATGTATGAAGTAATTCATAGGTTCATATGAAGTGTAAAATGCATATGGACCTTGAAACAATATCCCATTAGCCTAAAAATTCAAGTTTGCTCAATTTGAACTTCATGCATTTGCTCAAAATTTTCCAACTTGCACTAGTCATAGATCTCTCAATTTTCATCACTTGAAGGTGATCTGAGACTTTTTGGAAAGCTCAAGATGCTCTATACAATCTCTATTTGAATCATTTTTGCATTTGAATACTTTATCTTGATGTAAGTTGCCTTGACAAAAAGTGTCTTTTTGTTGACTTTTTAACTGACCTATAACATTTTGACCCATATCTCTCAAATAAAGCATTTTTTGGACTTGAGCTTAGAGTGACAAAGTTTTATAGAATTGAATTTCCTTCAAGATGAGCTTTGGTTAAGAACAATCTGATGAAGCATGTGAAAGTTTTGCTTGGTCAAAGTTTAGTTGACTTCTCCTAAAGAAACCCTAATTTGGCAACTTTTGATTTTTGATGAATTGAGAGTTTTCTTGATGAATAATGATCAACCCTTGATCAAATGATGAATATTACTTCAAAACCTTGATGTTGACAAAAAAATTTTAGGTTTGACTGTAGTTGACCACAATTGACTTTTTATCCAATACAATTGATTTTCATTCATCTGAGCAATTGACCGAGCTAACTTGGGATGTAAGGCATGAAACTTGGTATGAGCATTCTTGAAGACATGCAAGAAACCATGAAATCCACTTGATATTTTAGAAACACAATCTTCCTTGAGAAAGGTGAAACCCTAGTTGTAAGTCCACTGCTTAGGAGGATAATTTGTCTAAGCAACCTTGAGCATTTGAGAACTCTATGAGAATGTCTTGAAGAATTGGGAGGGAAAAATTTGGGGTACAACACTTCCTAATAATAGAAAGATATCCTTTACCACCTGATTTGATGTGCTTCCCATATGCAAACTTTATCACCTTTTCGACTGACTTATCTAACTTGGTAAACCAGTTTTTATTGCCAGTCTTGTGGTTACTGTATCCTGAATCCAGATACCACGTGTTGTTTTTCTCAGTGGTTGACTGAGTGTTCACAATCAATAACACATAATCAAAATCACTATCTCCAGCTCGTGCATATTAAGCTTCATCAGTGTCTTTCACCCTCGCGGATTTCTTTCTTCGACATTCTCTAGCATAGTGACCAAAACCTTGACAATTATAACAATGCACCTCTTTCGTGTCAACTTTATTCCCAGAATACTTATTGCCCACACCTTTCTTAATCGAATCAGTGTTCTTGCTTGACTTGTCATCGCTAGCAAGATTCATCCGCTGCTTCAACTTCTCTTTTCCAGCTTTCTTGCTGAATCTTGATTGCAATATCTATTCAGTCACCTTCTCTCTTTCTGAGCTTCTCTACTTCAAACTCATTTCATGAGCCTCTAATGAAGCTTGAAGTTCATTCAAATTCATCTCAGATAGAGTCTTGGCCTCTTTAATTGTCATTATAATATAGTCAAAATCTGCAGTTAAAGATCTTAACACTTTCTCAACCTTCTGCAGATCCACAACTGATTCACCACATGCCTTCATTTGGTTTGTTAGCATCACAGTTCTTGAGAAATATTCAGAAATTAATTCATCTTCTTTCATTTGAATCATCTCATATTCCTTCCTTAGCGTCTGCAACTTCACCTTCTTCAATTTCACATCTCCACCATACAAGCTCTTTAACTTGTCTCACGCACCTTTTGTCGCTTCTTCTTCAATTATCTTCTCAAGTACATCAGAATCTACACACTGATGAATAAAAAATAATACTTTACCATCTTTCTTCGTCTGATCCTTGTGCGCAGTTTTCTAAGTCTCATTCGCATTTGCTTCCAGTTTTGGTAATTCATCATCATTCAAGATTTCAACAACATCTTGAAATCTGAAAATAATCTTCATTTGCGCAACCCACCGTTGATAGTTTTCTCCTTTGAAAACCATTAGATTTGCTGGAAACTGCGTTGACGTTGTTGTTCTGTTTGCCATTAGATTCTCTCTGAATCGCAACTGAGCTCTGTGATACCAATTTGTTTGAACAAAGGGTTTTCAAGAAAGATGATTTATGGAAGAGCAAGAAGAAGAAGGAGAAGAGAGAGAGAGAATGAAATTTTTTTGTGATTCTAACTGAATCGTAAAATTTGTTATTGATTACGCTTGTGATTACAAACTCAGCAGTCCTTTATATAGGCATATAATGTCCAAACTCAATTAGACAAAACACGCTAAAGGACAAAACATAATTTCGACATAGTCGAATACAAATTACAACCTATACAATAAATTATTTGACATGTACAAACACTAGTTATTTCGACATTTCGACATAACAAAAATTATAAGTTCTAACCGTAATTTCATACGGTTTATATTTTTATAATGTTTAATAATAATAATAATTTTTTATACAAACAAACATATAGGAATGTTGTATTTTAGATGGTGTAAGAATAGAATGTATAATAGCAATTCTCTTTATTTAAACATTAAATTAAGATATCTTGTGTTACACTTTTTTTATATTTTTATCTAGCCATAGGTGCACCGTATTATCAAATATGGCTCATATTGGTTAAGCTTATTACTAAAATATAACAAACCTGAGTTAAACACGCCAAATATCTAGTGTATATCTTTGATTGTGTTAGTGAGTGAATCATATATAAAGCACTCTCATCCCTTCAATTCGACCAGAATATAGGTAACGTCCTCATTTAAGATTTCAAACTTAGCCATTCTCGTATCTGACCAATGGTTTGACTAGGTTAAGAAAAGTAACTTTCCAACAAAAAAAAACCATAAAAAGCGACTAACGTTAATTTCTATAATTCACACTTTCAAACGAGACTTCAATTCAATCCACCTTTTAGTTTAATATTACAATATCAATATCCTCATTACAAGTTAAGGAATAAAACAAGCGATACATACAAACACAAACAAGGAAAGGAAATGGCTGAAAAAATGCACCTTAGTTTCATCATATTTGTCATGACTGGTTTTATTATATTTGTATATGTAAATTCAACAACACACCTTGTTGGAGACAAGCTAGGTTGGAATTTGCCTGGTTATCCTAAGTATTATCAGGATTGGGCAAACAACCATACCTTCGTCGTTGGCGATAAACTCGGTATGTCTCAATCACCTTAAATCTTTCTATCGACACGACACCAATACGTCAACATATTTATCAATTTTTTAAAACATAAATATATATTAAATAAATATATATAATATGACATATTGATACATGTCAGACATCAGACATCAGATACATTGATACATGTCAGACACTATACATATTGATATATGTTATATACCAGACACATTGATACATGTCAGATACATATCGACACTAGACACATTGATACATGTCAGACACCAGATATATTGATACATGTCAGATACATATCAGACACCAGACACATTGATACACATGTCAGATAATCAAACACATTTTTATTGTTATATTATCTAACATATTACTAACTTGCAAACTTATGTTAAAATATTGCAGTTTTCCAGTACCATCCAGGGATTGGCACAGTTCTTCACGTAAACAAGGAAGATTTTGATAATTGCACAAACAGAAATACCATCCGCACATACTTCAGAGGAAACTCAACCGTTCCTTTGGACAGGCCTGGTGATTATTATTTCTTCTGTTCAGTTGGAAAACGTTGTGAGCTTGGTCAAAAACTTTGGGTTAGAGTTCAAGGAAAAACCTCAAGGAAAGCCCTCATGTAATGATAATATATATGTTACTACAATTTCTCTAGAGTTGCACTCTATTAATAATACTGTAATACTATAATACTTTATGTATTTAATTAGCCCATCAATTGTGTATAAATATGTATAGCTAGATTTTGGGCACAAAGTTTCCTATTTGTTTTTTTGTAACGTAAATAATTTTTGTTGTGTGGCATTTTGAATATGCCCCTACTTTGGATTGTGAATGCAAGTCCTTTAATATCTCTATGCATTTTGAATATTGTTGTGTTGTCATCTAATTTTGTAGTCTATAGGAGATGATAACTTGTGGTTGAATATTCAAACCAAAAGTTTCCTTACACTGAAATTTTTGGGATTATTTAAATTTAGCTTATTATAGAAAAACTAGGATCAAAGAAAGGATAAGTTTTGTATTAAAAAAATAGAAAAAGTAAATAAATAAAAAATGAAAAAACTTAAATATATTTTGACTTTATCATATGAGACTGAGAGGGTATAGAACCAACAAAGAGTATATGAAATCCAATTTTATTTCGTAGTCCATATACTTTGGTTGGGATTTAAAGGGCCCATGCGCACCATGAAAAAACCACCCCTTTTTATTAGTAAAAAGTGTAAAAATAACCACACAAAAAATTAGAGTTTTTTTTATTTATTTTTATTATCATTACATATACCAAAAGAAATTAATCTGAAAAACAATTTGACTCATACTAAGTAGAATTCTGAAAAGAAAAAAAATCCGCAATGTTATTTTCTACAGACTTTAACAACAAGAATCTAAAGAATAATATTGTTAATTAAATATAACATCAAAACAAATAGGGCATTATATGTAATCTAGTTACTATCATGAAACAAAACTATGGGTTACGATAAATGCCACCTAATAAGTGGATATGCCAGTGGTGCATAAAATTGTGGTATGTATGAGTAAGGGATGACATTTAAGATGGTTATCCTAATGAGAATGAGTACATGATAAAAGAAAGTGATTGAGTAGACATGATAGTGTGAAAAAATATTTGACTTAAATATACTTTTTGATCTCCATATTTTCATTTTTAAATTTTTTATTCCCTATTTTAGAAACTAGAATTTTTGTCCCTATGTTTTAATTCTTTTTCAAGATTTTAGCATTTAAGCCAAAATATTTATGGATGAAGTAGAATGTGTGAGAGTATGGAGATATATAGATGATAGACTTGGAGAGAACGGAGGCATATGGACTAAGTAACTAAATGGGAATAGAGTTATTGCATGATGTTATAAATAGGGGTGACAAAACGAGTTCAGTCTATTGGATATTTTTGTTTTGTGCGTATTTTTATGCGGGGAGTGTTAAGGGTTTAGGCATGCACCCTCTAATATAGTCACTCCGTCTTGTTTTTTAGATTTTTGCAGATGTGAGCATTAACATAATTTTTTTTCTTTTTATTTTTAGTCTTAAAAGGTGCAGTGTCCGTGGGTTCGTCCTCATTTTTTTGTGAGGCGGACCAATATTTTAGGATCGCACCCTCAACTATGTCCACGCCTTTCTGCCCCATTTTTACGGCCTTTTATAGGACGAACCTAAACGGGACGGGTATGCCCGTTTACTACTTATAGTTATAAGCAATGTGGACATCCTATGTTACCATGAGTCGTCCAACCAAACAACATGTTATATTCATATATGTCATTAATGGGCAATGATTCTCTTCCGTGAAAATTTGGTACAGTGCAATATGGACCATTCATTTATCTCATGACATATCAAACAAATTATTAAAATAAAATTTAAATGGTGAGGATCAGCACTTTATGACCTCCAGTGAAAACTTCACTAGAGAGAATCCACACCTGTCATTAATAGTTCATATCAAAGTTGCTTTCATTGTAAAATTTAGCTTACTTTTTTATATATCATATAATTATTCTCCAATCCATAACTAGTTCAAATCGTCAATTAGATATTTTTAAAACACATCAATGCCCGCTTTTAAATTCTATGTTTTTGGTATAAAAAACATGTAAAATTTTAATTCGACGTTTTTGGTATAAAAAACATGTAAGATTTTAATTCGACGTTTTTGGTATCAAAAATATGTAAGATTTTGACCTGAACTTATCAAGCTGGAGAATGTATGTTGTAACGGTAAATGTCCAATAAAAACAAGAAAATGTTAATATTTGGATATACAGAGTGTTGCACCCCAAAATTTTCCCTCATTTTTCTTCTCTTAGGGTTTTCAACCACGCAAGGTCATTCTTCTCAAAATTTGCCAAGGGTTTTGGAATCGGAATTTGGTTTCAGCGTCTCAATTTGTTTTCTCTTTTAAAGTGCAAGAGATTAGGTTTAAGCCTCGCCATTTGGTATTTTCAAAAAAATTACAGACCATTATTTGATTTGTGTTGAAGCTTTATGTGGGGGTTAGTCACAATTCTTGGGAGTCTCTTAGTCTTAAAAGAATCTTATCCTTTTCCTTGAAACTCAAACTTGAAAGTCAAGTTTTAGTTTGAATTGGGATTCGATTTGGTTTGAGGCCCATTGGATAATCACTTTATGCTACAAAGTTCATTACTACATCTTTCCTTTAAGTGTTCATTCAAAGTTTGATTTTTTTTGGAACTTAAGAGAGGGTTTGTTTTGTTTGCAATATAGCTCTTAAAAGACTTGGGAATCTTGTTGATGCAGAAATAAGAGTAATTTTAGACTTGGCGCAAGTAGGCAAGTTTGATCTTGTTTCTTTTCAGCTACAAATATGGGTTTTCATCTCAAAGCTTGACTCATTACTTCAAATTCCAGAAACCGAATCACATTGCCATATCCATTTAGAATTAAAATTCAAAAGTGAAGAGTTTTCCATTTTAGATTAATAGATCTTAAAAAGACTATAAAGCCTCATATTTGTTCCAAATTTCCTAAGGGTTTATCAAATATATTACAAAAGGAAAGGATTAAAGCTTGCTCAAAGTTCCAAATGACATTCAAATATTTTAATGTATAAGGTCCTAAATTACAAAAAAAAAGTTACTTCCTAATGTTACAAAGATGTTCATCCTATAGCCTAATCACAAATTTCCTATGCCTATTGTTCATTCTTCATCTTCACTTCTCCAAGCTCCTCCAAAGCCATGCCACGATTTCTTTGCCTTTTCCATATTTCTCCCATCAATTCATTGTTGCCATGAAATAAAAGAAAAGGTTTGTTAGTAACATAAACATGGACATAAATAGGAATTTCCCAAGAGTTTTTTTATTCATCATTAGGGTTGGTTTATGGAATCAGGAAAAAGGTGTTTTTCAATCATGTTCTTGTGCCAAAACAACCTCATACAAACGTTGGATTTAATCATGAGCTTAGGTCTATTGCAAATCACAAAGAAACTTGGTTCACAATAAACAAATGCGAAAAGGTTCAAAATAGAATTGCAATCACAAAATAGCCCAATTACAGCAGGCACGGGTTCAAAGGCCCAAGAAATATCACAAATCAAAATTCAAGCCCAAAAGCCTCACACAATGTTGTCCTATCATTGGCTTAGAAACATCTTAATTGCAAATCACAAAACGAGTTGGTTCACAAAAAAGTACAAAGAAGAATCAAATCAGATTTCAAAAAGACTCATCATGCTCTCACGCAAAAAAAAAGGCCTCATAGTTGTGTTGTTTCAATGAAAAGATCAGAACTGTAATTAAATGTCATAGACCTAGCCCTACTGCAAAAATATCAAACAAATATATAAAGAAGCTTGTTTGGTTCACAACAAAGGCTAACAAGCAACCAATACAAAAGTCAGCAGGAAACCATCACATAAAACCAAGGCTAATACAGAAAAGTAAGTAACCAACACAACAAGCACATGCCAACAAGCAGAGGGAAAAAGTCAGCATAGCAAAAGTACCACATAGTTCAGAAAATCATAAAAAAGATGATAAGTCTAGCAAGGCCAGAAAGCAAAGTCAAAAACCAGCAAAAGTACAGCAATCAAAAGTGCCAAGTTTATCATCTCAAATAAAAAACAGTCCCAAGGCCAAACTGGACACACAAAATCACAGTATAAAACAACAACAGAGAATTCACGAAAGGTATAGAACCAGAGGGAGAGAACTAAAACAACAAATCCATTCATTTTTTCTGTAAAACAAATATACAGATACAGGGGGCAAGAGCCATAGTTCACAAAATTATACAAATACAGAAAGAGAGATGCATAAAACCAAAACCATGATTTCATTTTTCCATCACATAAACCCCTCAAAATCGTTTTCAAAATGAGTTCACCAACAAACATACAGAAGCATAATCAAACCACAAACCCTAAAATAAAAATAGTTTCATATCATCAACAAACTGAGCCCACAAAATCATTCACATAAATATACAGAGAACTCAGTCCCAAACACAATACAAAACCCTAGTTTTTCATCATCATTTTCCAAAAGCATAAAACCCTTCAGAGTTTAAAATAGGAGAAGATATCAGAGAGATCTCACAGAGATAAACTCAGAAGCAATTCGTCTTCGTTCATTTTCAAACGACCTTTATCGTTGTCATCAATTTCCGTCGAATCTGAATGCTAGGGTTTCACTTTTCCCTTCAAGATCTACTCAAAATCGTGTACGATCTACAAAATTAAGCCACATATTAATGATCAAGTGAAGAAGAGGAAGCTAACAATGTAAGAAAAATAAAGATCTGAGCTCCGCCTCCACAAGGGAGATTTCTGGCACGGCCATGTTCTCTTCTCCGGCGAAGAGTTGTTTGAGAGAACGAGAGAGAGATAAAAACAAGAGAGAGGAAGTGTTTTAAGCAAATGACTTGATTTTCTATCTTTTTTGTTTGTTTTAGTAAACAGGGGCTCCTCAATCAAACAAACTTTCAAGCCCAACCGTTTTACTGACGCTCACCCCCTCCCCCCCCCCCCCCCCCCCATTTTGCTCTTGTTCACACCTCTCTATTGGACTTCCTCAATCAAACAACAGCTAGCCCAACCTCTTTCCATTCATAGACCTCACATCTCTTAAT